AATTAAGATGACAAATTGGAGTAAAATCAGTAGTAAGAGTGTGTAGTGATTACAGTGATATTTTATAAATAGTACAGTATGCATCATCTTTATGTCTTTGCCTACTGTAGCATTAAGGATATTGGCATCTGCCTAAAAATTTGTGACCAAGGAAACTGATTCAAAGATCACCTGATTCAGAGACCTGTTAATCAGTACTCGCAAGCTTCTCATTATTGTAATATTACATGAGCAAGTAGCAAATGATATTCTTTCTTTAAAAAAACAACTTTTTGCCATACTGTACACTGACATTTTTTTGTGAACTGTATTCCCTGTTTGCAGGTAAGAGGCAGAATTCTGAGAAGGATTTTGAATTGGAAACAGGATAAGTTAAAGACATTCTTAAGTTTTACTAAACTCTAAATTGCTCTATTGTATTCTGCACTTTGTGCTAAATTAGATTGCAGACGTAATGATTTGGGAGAAATCATGCAAGAGTTATTAAATATTAAGCTGCAGGATTTCTCTCATTTTCTCTCCCATTGCAATCACACCAGGAATTGTAACTTGATAGGAATTTTTGAAAAGACATACTTCTTATAGATCAGGAGTTCCCAACCAGGGTGCTCGCACCCCCGGGGGGTGCAAGACGATATTCCAGGGGGTGCGAAAACTTGGGTTTTCAAAATTATAGTGTATATGCATAATTTGTTGCCGTTATTTCGAACTTTTGTAAGGGGTGCGAGAATATATCAGAAGCATCCTAGGGGTGCAGGGTACAGAAAAGGTTGGAAACCACTGTTATAGATGATCCTGTAGACCTTTTTAAAGCAAAGGTTTTGCAGAGCAATGTGTGAAAACAGCAGAATATTTGTGAGGAGTGATATATGTTAATAAAATGCAAATGTTTTCATGATTTCCCATAACTGAAATAATTACACTTCCTCAAATAAGACATAACTCTAAAAAGTAGATGTACGCGTATTAATAAAGTAACTGCCTGTGTTAAATGATCCCTATCTCTGAATTACACACACACAAAGAGAGAAAGAGAGACTTGATTATGATAATGAATATTAATTTTGCAGTTTGAACCTGTGTTAGTTTAAGGTAATCTAAAATCAGAAAAGTTTTGCTAGCATCTTTTCAGACTAACCTAATTTATTAAAAGGCAAAGTTTTTTTCTGAATTACAATGAAGTGGCTAAAATGATGTAGAATTTAAATTGGGATCAGAAGAGGAATGGGTGATGACAGCATGGTTTACATGTAAAATTAAGTACAACTTTGGAGAAAAATCAACAAAAATATTTTCATTAACATACTCATTGTGAACATTTTAGACCATGAACATAGGAAGTTTTATCCAGGATTTTCAGGCCCAAATGCTTTGCCAAATGGATTGAATATATCGGACCTGGATATCTCCGAGACCGCCTTCTGCCGCAGGTTACCTCCCATCGGCCGGTACGCTCCCACAGAGTGGGTCTCCTCAGGGTGCCGTCAGCCAGACAGTGCCGGCTGGCGACCCCCAGGGGGAGGGCCTTCTCGGTGGGAGCTCCCACCCTCTGGAACGAACTACCCCCAGAGATCCGGGTGATCCCGGA